TTCGGGCACGGGGCAACTTCCCCCTGACTCTGACTCATTTCCACCCTCAAATCCAGAATGCGGCCGACCATGCGCAAGCTGAACTGCGACGAGGCGGTGAATAGTGATAATTTTTGCATTGATTAATTCGCGAACACCATCGGGTGATTTTGTTATTAATAATATTCGCTAAAATGTTGTTAAAATTACTTTTCATCATATGCTCTCCACGATAGTTTTAATGGGTGAATATGTGGATTTCCAGGCTCAGGGCCTAAGAGAATCGGGGCGTTAAGGAATCGGTTTACCACCAGTGCACTCACTATTTCATATGCCAGGGGTTAAATGGAACTTTTGAGTTTTATAACCGGAACGAACTTACAAGTAAGAAATAACTCTTCTGATTCCGCGTCGCCCCGCGCGCCGCGCCGCCCACGCGCAAGCGCCCGTGCAGAGGACGGTGTCGCGGGCGCAGAAGCATGGCGTCACGCTTTAATCACGCCTTCGCTGGCCGGTCGCGCCGGCATTCCGTAACGGTTCGATGGATGAAATGAGACGGTCGAGAACCGCCGGCTTCGCTGCGTAGCTCGTGCCAAAAGCGCCCACGTTGTAACATAGTCAAAGTATATCCTGAATTACTGAAGCTTGGCGCGGGCACACCCCATTACTATACACGGCGGGTGTGGTAGCCGTCTGGTGAGCTCGGCTAGGTTTCGTGTCTTCAGATCTGCTATGTTGATTGGTGGTAGTTGGATAATTCATTATGTGTTGTTGCTGGTGTCGTTGCTCTTGTAGCGCGATATATTTCGGCGTTTCTTCGTAAAACCCAAATTGAAACGATTTGTGTAGAGCGATTCTGTCTGTTAAATAAAATCGATCATCAACTTTAATATATCTTTATAGGTCAAGGCCTGGTAAAAATATCTTCGAAAACATTTATTGTAAGTTGCATTTTCTTATAACTGTGAATGGTGCAGAACGTTAGAATTCAGTCCTGTTTGTGTAAATATGCATTTGCATGTCAGGACCGGTGATTTAAAGGCCACCAGACTTCAAGACAGGTTTTTGATGCTTTGCGATTTTCTCTACTACTGAAGGAAGTCATGCTAATGGTACGGCTACAGTTAACTACTCTCCAGCCTCCGGAATCCTTTACTTGTAAATTACCTTGATTCCATGGACACGACGGGAGTACTCCATCTGAGTCGCGTTGCTCCGCGTACCCATGTAGACGGTTTTGCGCTTTGTAAATGCCTTATACACTTGGCGCATACGATGGAACGTGGCTTGAAATGCCCACTTGGGCTCATTGTGTTTTTGAAGGCACAGGCTATTGCGGCTGCGCAATCGACTGTTGGCCAGGCAAGGAGTATGGACTCAACTTCAGACCGGTTGAGGAAACGTGTCTGAGTTTAGTGGGTACAATTGCGCAAGAAATGATGGAACTTTGCCAAGACTTCTCCGAAAAATAATTAGGAAAGTTGTTTTATTTACACCTACGTGATGTGACGTGATTTAATTTCCCTCTTTACCGTGAGCGCGTGTTGCAATGTGATCAAGTGTGCGAGAAAATTATCGTTTTCGTTAAATACAGTTCTTGACTACCTCTTCACTTAGTCAAATCTAAGTGATACAACTGTAAATGTAATAATATCAATTCTATGCATTGCACATTATTGTATTTCATATTTGCAACTATTTGTAAATCGAATAATTTTAGCCACATTTCATGGACAGCGAAACAATATGCAATGAGTTAGCAGTTTGCGCAAAAAATTATCTCAGCAAAAAAAATTGCAGACTATGATGGCCGTTATTCAACCATCACCGAGCCCGCAGATCTCTGATCGGTTCCCGATCATTGACTTCCAGAAGGTACGATGGATATAAGTACTTCAATATTTAAACGGAGCGGCACATAATGCTATAAAATTCAGAATCTATAACACAGTGTTTTACCAAAGCAGTCACTTTTCAAAGTCGAGATCGGTTGTTCAGATACACAATCTAATCTCCGTCGTCGTCGTCATGGGTGGTTTCTTCTTGCACGACCACCTGATTTCATCTACGTTGCATTTTCGTTACCTTGTGTTCTGGCATGCATGTTCTGTAAAGTGATTAAATAATGCTAACTCCCTTCTATCACGTTACCATTTTGTTCGGTTCTGTGATGAAATAAAGTGGATTGGAATCTTTTCCGTGATATTACTGTTCGTTTTTAACTTAGAGATATGTTTTTATTTTATTCCAAATCGAGGCAACGACAATTTGCTATCAGAAGGTGAACGATTTACCGAGTTATATTTTGTATTTAAATAGAATTGAGATGATTTATGAATTGCACGAATGATATAATTCATAATATTACAATACAGCCTACAAGCGTCTTCCAAACTCATTGGAATACACTAAATATTATGGTTTTTAATAAAGTCTATAAACTACTACTTATAAAGTCTCCCAACTTTATTGGTTATAAATCTATTAAACTATTTCTCATACGTATTTTTAAACAATTGTTGCATCTAGCTCTAAATTATATTACTTTCATTATTTGCAAATTATTCAATTTCACAGTGAATTTGCCTATTCTGAAGCGAGCGATATTATTCCTACTTGCTGAACGAAAATCCGCTAGGAAAACCCTGAAGCCATTCGTGTAGCCGCACGTGATCTGATCGCATTCGAACATGCCTCAGAGGCTTAATAAAACTTGCCCTTTCCCCGCTTTCTGTTGCTGCTCTTGTTGTTAGTTCATGAGGAAATGCCTCTCCCGCTGGGCCGCTTTCCGAGTAGATATTATTTTCAATCTCAGAGACTGGACATGTTTATGCAGACATATTTCGTGGTAATGTTTGCTCATTTACAATTCATATCACGGTCAGAGGAATCTTGTAATGTTCTTATTTCTCCCAGACATTTTTTCGCTGCCAAAATTCTTCAGCGTTACCACCCTGTTTACGAGAGGGAGCTGCAGGCTTTTGTAATTACAGCGGATCTCTCGCCCGCAGTGCGGTCTGAAAATTCTAGAGAAGTATCTCGCCTTGATGCCTCGCTAAAACTAAAACTAACCCTTCTGGAGTTCGCAAATTCATGCAATACAATGCAATAAATTGTACTGTTCCGTCAGAAATTTTAAAAAACTAATTTTTCGGTCAGGAATATGATTCAGAGGAGTCATATTCCTTCCATATTGCAAATATTACCATTAATTCACAGCTAATATATAAAAATTGCAATCTTGAGAGTAAAATTGTGTGAAAATAATTTCACAAACCAAGAAAATGTGATTTGAAAATTTTGCTTGTATACATGACGTCATTTTCAGAAGAAACAGAACATTTTATTGATCGTAACTTTATATTTGAACAAGTTATTTGTACATTTTGTTCTTCTGATGAAAATTATCAACAATTCAAATGCCCACCCTGTGGTCGCAGGACATTGAAAGTGTTTGAAAAAAGTAAAAAAAAAATATTGTATTGTTATTTTACTTTCATATAATTCACTATGATGAGTCCTTAATGAGCCTGCAATTCATCAATGTGGATTAACTCAGATTAATTCCGATTAACAATGATTAAAGTCCTCTAGTATCTCGTATATTTCAGAATCGGTTAATTGTTCCATGCATCATATTAGGGATCAATAGTGAATAAACGAGATACTGAGTTGCGACGAATGGCGATTTAACGTGAACGTGATTGAATGCGATTCATTATGGTTAATACACATCAGAAATCGATTCATAATCGTCCAAACCAAGATCATGGGAAAAATAAGAATGAACAGTGAAACATCATCTGCATGACGTTGTTAGAGATGGGTGCAAGATGGGTTGAGGTATAAACATGGGGTGTGAGGTAAATAAATTAATATTGCGTATCCATCAGCAGATTTGCAGTTTTTTCTATTTTATTGATTACTTTTTATTTCACTTTTCATTAACTTATGATATTGTTCCATCATATATGTATTTTTATTTTAAATAAAATGTAAATTATTTTGCTCGATATTTGAACCATATATGACATCAACAGATCATTAAATGTTGTAAATCATCGATACTGCTTGTTTTAATATAAATCCATTCGCTGTTTTTATTTTCTCATTACTGTATATAAAAAATGCTACCAAACAAGATGTAAATTGTATTTTGATCTAATGTAAATAATATTTTTCCATTCAGAAGTCTTGAATATATTTTTACTAAGTCGTTTAAAGATTAAGAAACGATCCTGAAATTAATTCCCTAGCTCTTTGGTTCTCTATTCAGTACAATCTAGCATGAATAATTTACATCGTCAGCTTTCATCAATCACGCCAACGTAGTTCAGTCTTGTAACTCGTTTCTTCCTACACAGAGTATAGCTGTGAAATCTTGCATTTATTAACTTCAATGTTTTCACAGAACTTGCAAAGAAATGTTTCTGTTGAGGATCTCTTTTAAAGTAAAGAATGCGTCTAAAAAACGCTGAAATTGTGACAAATTTTAATATTGATGTTTCAATTTCCTTTTTACGATTTTGATATGAGGAACTAACAATATTTGCAATAAAAGTGGATTCCTAGAAAAATGAAGAAGCGTTGATGTACGATCATTTTCGTAAAGAAAACTGGAAGACTTCTCCTGCAGATAACTCCAAAGAGGAACTTTAGTGTTCAATTATGAACTGATCAGATCGGTTCCCCAAACATCAGTTCGAAACATCAAAGCAATAACAAACTATTTCGCCGCTTAATAGACATTGAAAACGTTATTGAAAGAAAAGAACTTTCAATTGACAGAACATATAATATTTTGCGTGAAATAACATTTAACCATGCCCATTCAAACGTGTACCCCAGTCGAGCACAAAACTACTCTCTCCTGCGCGTATAGTAGCGGGCCGTCGTGCAGGGCAGTGCCCCCTCGGCTCGGCTCGGCTTCGCACTGTAAACATGTTCCTGGGCTGACATGTGACTGCAGGGGGAGGAGGTGCGTGGAGGGGAGTTGATTGAGCCGTGCCAGCACACGCCGGATGCGCGGGCGGCAGTGCGCTTTCCGTCGCGGAAAAGAAGAACTACTTCGTGGGAACGGAAGGGCTTCACACGGCCAGCCAGGCACGCTCGCAGGGCGGGTTCGGGCGATATTGCGCCGCCGCGCTGTGCCGCGCCGCGCCGCCAACGCGCTCCCGCGGCGGTTGGGGCATCCACGAATCGTTCCGAAAACAAAGGACGGCCGCAAAGCTTATTTGGGGCCGGTGGGCGAGAGGGAGGGCGCAGTGGAAGTAGACGCAACTGGCGGGAGCGCCCCCGAAAGCGGAAGTTATGGGCTGGAACGTGAACGAGAAAATACGTTGGCGAAGAAAGATCGAACCCCCAGTATAAGAATTCCCCGGAAAATATTTTACAATGTTTCTGAACGTTGACAGCTGGTATTGTAAAGAATTTTCTGATGCGGCTAGACAGAAACAATCTTCGAAAAAGCATTTCAAGTGCTATTGAAGAGATTTCGAAGAATTATTATCGAGATTACAGATGGTAAACCAGAACGTAATTAGAATTGAATTACTTGCTTCAATGAGTAGTTGTGAAACGAACACCTGTTTCTGGTTTTTGTGCCTTTGAAATGCTAGTGAAACCTCACTACGCCATCAAGTTGAAGAGTACTAGAAGACGTTGGCGGAGTCTCTTGTAATGAAGGCTGGCTGTTGTATTTATTTCCCGTTCCACTTAGCACTATTGCAAAAAGGAACACTACTGGAGCTGATTGCAAAAACTGGATTTTCGCGTTGCAACACGTTTTACTCCTTATACGTTTTTCACGAACTTGTGAAGTCCGATCAACTGTATCGCATTCAATAAAAACAGAATTACAAAATCAAAATAGTAATAATAATGATTATTATTATTATTATTATTATTATTATTATTATTATTATTATTATTATTATTATTATTATATTGTATATATTGTTCCGTGCTATTTGAATTTTATTTCTTCCGCTTCTTCATTCCGCATTTCTTCCTTGATGCATTGATTGAAATGCTATTCTTAGAATTATCTGCGATATTTTTTCTCTGAGTTTGCTTTTAATGTAGTGAAATCTGATGTATAACAAGTAACTTCAATCATTGAAGTGATTCTCTCATTGAGGCAAAATTCTCCTCACAAAAGAGAAAGAGAAATAAACATTTTGGTTTATTTGCAATTTAATACAAAATATTTATTTATTGACATATTAGTTTGACTAATATTATGATTATGAAAATTTGGACAAGCTTATTTTGGCAGAAAAGTGTACTCGCAGATGCAGTAATGTTATTTTTTATTTTGTTTCAGGTACGTTATCCCTGGATTCTGTGTCGGCATAGGATTGTCAAGGATTAATGTGAGTATCACGAGTTGCACTGTTTCGCAAAATCGTAGTTACTGAGAGTGCATTAAAGATGAAATCGATAAATATAATATGAAATTAATGAGTATTTGGTTATCGAATGTTGTATTATTAGTAGATAGGTGTCATGTCACTGTAGTAACTGTCTTCACCGCTAAAACCTTTTATACGTTCAAATAGTCTTGACGCGGACGAAAGTCTAAAATCGCAACATACATATTTTGGCATCGCGTCCTGGAGGTACAGTTGTTAGGAGCAAAAACCAAAGGTCTTCCGTACCTTTTGAAAGAGAAGCAGTGTCTTTCGTTATACGATACCGTATAGAAAGATACGGCATATTGACTCACGTTTCTCCCTTGGAGGGCGACGTCGCAACCGCATTGCCTCGCCCAGCAGCCGCGTCGCCCCGGGCGCCGTGGCGGTCCGCGCCTCCGGCTCCGGGGCTTCTTTAATCAGTTCCTTCCGGTGCGAAGCCTGTGGCGTGCGCGCCGCCGGATTGCTCATTAAATGATAAGCTTCGTCGCCGCCCCGCTCTGCCCCTCGGCCGCCCGCGGCCTGTCGCCACTTAATGCCTGACCGTGGGCGCCGCCCGCCCAAGCCCGCCCGCCCAAGCCCGCCCTCTGTTTTAATGGCGGATTTATTTTACGTCTCTCCTGAGTTTCCGTCGCACTTTGGCGCGCTGCGGGGACCGCGGGCCGGCTCGCGCTTGCCTTCCGGGGCTCGGAGGGCGGCCGACGCCCACCGCGGCCGCCGCCCGCCGCCGCCGTCGTCGTGTCTGGCGCGAGACAGGGAAGAGGCGAGTCGGGAAATGCAATTTTCTTAATTTTTGCTGAAAAGCGCTTTGGAAAGTGTCTATTATCCGAGAGTGGCGGCGAGAGGACGAGACTTAAAATAATTTTCTCTCTGAATCTCCGATTAAGTTCTTCGTACTGGCGAGCGGCGGTGGCGGTGTGACGGCACGCAGGCCGCGACGAGAATCAAAGCTGGGATGTAAAATGTCCTCCAGGGATGCGCTTTGGCTTTTGCGGTGCAGAAAGAGTTACGCAGATGGTGGGAAAAAAACTCTTAAGAAGAGTGTTTTTCTGTGAAGCTAAGGATTTGACACCTTCTAGGAAAAGCGAGCGCTCGTTGTACCTAGATAAATGGTAAAAATATGGTAATAAATATGATTTGACCATGCCATAGTAAAAAGCTAAAATTGTCAACTTTTTACACATTTAAATTTTTATGAAAGCAAGTCAACCACCGTGTCTTTTTATGCAAAATATTTGAGTTTTTGTTCAAGTACAAGAGCCAATCAATAATAGCAACACTTTTCGTATTTTTTATTTTCTAGTGGCGCATATTCTTAACTTGAACATAAAGCGCTATTTTTTTCCACGCCAGTCGTTAATGTATTCTTTGAACTTCTTGTGTACAGTTGAATTTTAACAGTGAAGAAAAGCTAAAAGGCATTGCTATGTAAATTCTTTGAAGTACTTATTTCAGTTTTTTTTTCATCTCCTTTGGCTTTGTAGATGTAAACACGGTTTGTTAAGGTTTGTTTGTTGCACAATGGTCGTTTGGCGAACATTCCTCGTGACACGAAAAGTGAAGATATTTTCAATGGAGGCGGGGGGGGGAGTGACGCTTGTCCACAGCATCGTCGACACGCTTGTGATGTAAGCATCGTGAGAAGCGTGGGTTCGGCAGGTCGCCGATCAAAGGGCTCCCAGTGCTTTGTTTAGTGACCGACGGCGGTTCGCGACACGAAACAGGTTGACGTGGCAACGAAGCATCGTCAAACGTGCGGCTTCTAGCTATTAAAGAGCCGAACAAAGGGGCGGTGCCGTCTTAGGCGTGCTAATAGCCGCAGATGTGTTGTGTGTTTGGTCTCGGAACAAATGCTTCGGTAAAGTTTTGAAGATGCGCTTCGGGATTGAACTCCGTAGTTTCAAGAGACTTATTTTATGAGTACCCATGCGCAAAGAAGACTGAACAGAAAATCCGGATAGAACGAGTTGAATGAATATAACCTTGTGATGAAAGTCATCTTCTCAGTAACGATTCATTGCAATTCATGCACGGGTTTAAAAAGCTTTTATGTCGCTGTTTAATCCATCTGCTGGCGGGAGTTAAGACTTTTATCTCAAATCTTCAAAGATTAGTTAATTTTTTTTTTAAAGGAATGTTCGATTGTTTTTGAAATAACACGAGCACAGAGTTACAACTCAATAGTTATTACTGGTTTTAACTTTCACTTCAGCGTAAATGTAACATACTCGCCTGTAAACTTTATTTGCATTCATGCTTGTTTTGCAAAAGACTACGAGTTTTATAAATGCATTAGTGTAAAGTAACTTAAGTGAGTTAAATGTGATAAATTTTTAAGTCAACTAGTAATATGTTACAATTTTAAAGCACGCCAAGTACAACTTTTCAGATCATCTCAATGTTATATAAAAATGGGCATTAGCTATTTAAAGCAACAATTTGAAACTTGTGCGAACAATAATGAAATGACCATGCAAGGAATATCAGTTAATCATCAGTCTATCGGAGTTTCCAAACACCGAACTTGTTAATTTTTACATTCTGCTCAAGGCGAGAACGAGTAGCCGCTTTTTATGAAGAGGTGTGAGGGAGGTTATGTTCTTCCTTGTTGGGAGAAAGCCCGTGCGTGGCTTTCACATCCTGCACGCGGGCGTCGCGGGTGTGCGGAGGCGGGGGCGCGGTCGGCGGGCGGAGCGATGCGGGGAACGGAGGCGCGGGCGCGGGCGGGGGCGCGCCGGGGGGGGGGGGGGAGCGCGGGCGTGGGCGCGGGCGTGGGGCGTGGCGTGGGCGCGGATGGTGGGCGCGGGGCGGAGGCGCGGGCGTGGCGGGGCGACTGGCCGCGTGACCGGCACCTCCTCAGGCGGATTGATCGCCTCGCGCTCTGCGCCGCGCCTCATTAGCATAGCCCCGCGCAACCCGCCCCGGGACGCGTAATCCGCGGCGGCTTTCAAATTACGAACGCTGCGCCGCCCCCGCCCCCGCCGCCCCCGCCGCCCGCGAGGAATGCCGACGAATCGCTCTCGCCGAGCAAGTTTTCGTGTGTTTGCGGCCCTGACGCACCTCCCGCTGTCGCCTTGCACGAGCGCGGCGTATTTGGTACGCTCTCTTCTTGGTTTGGTGTTTGGTTGTTAGTGATTCCGGGCGCGTCAATTTCTAAGGTCATTAGTGCATGTTTTACTCCTCGGGAGGTGCCGGTGATATTCCCCCGCTGGATGACGAGATCCGGCGCCGATCTTCCGACGGCTAGCGGTGTTTCCCAATCCAGGTATCTCCCACCAGCGAGGCACCGCCCCAGCCGGGACAAGCTGTAAGCTCCCGATCGCTCTCCCGGCAAGTGTGGTAGCATATACGTGTAATGGTGTGGAAGTAAGGGATGAGCATACGACAAGAAAGAGGAAGGAAAGATCGCGCGTGGTCTGTGGCCCGTTTGTCAGGGTACTGCACCGGCATTCCCCTGGTGTTGAAAAACCACGGAAAACTACAGATCAGAGTAGCCGGCCGCTAGAATTCTCCTCCAGACCGCGAGCGAAGACCACCTAGCTGACAAGTTAATGACGAAAATCTTGAATCCGTCGCGACTCGAATCTAGGACCTTCCGGTCAGAGGCACTGCAGTATCATCACTTGATGCCCTGAGCCACCTCTCCGGATCAGTTTCTTCTTAAATGAATTCGTATGTGTGGGACTCACTATTACTAAAAATTTCATGACCAGGTTTTAATTTCCTTACTGCAAGCAGAGAATAATTCGAGATTAGCGATTCTCAGTCCTGTAAAACTTTTTGTTTCTGTACTGTGTGTACATTATGACTCTCTCCGATTGATAGTTGGGTAAAGTGTGATCTATTATCTGTGGTAATACGTTTTAATGTGTCGCATGTGTTGTGTGATTAAACAGCTGTGTGCAGATCACTGAAGAAACATGGCGTGCAATTTCTGTTCGTGATATAAAAATACCATTGCTTACATCGTACTGCTGTGAATTGAAATGAATAAATATGAGCCGAAGTTCGAGCTTTTCGATGTCGAGATTGGGTGATGTGAGACTGTACTACTTTTTACAGTCCCTTCGTCGTCATGATATAATAACGAAAAATGCGAATCATTTTCTCTCCCCTGCATCAGAAAACTATAGTGATAAAATTAAACAGCAAGTTTCAAGCTGAGAATTCCATGAGAGAATCAATACATAATACAAAGCTTATTAGTAACACGGAATCTTGTATGTAAGACTGCCAGTGAATGAAGCATATTTAATTATTTGAATTTCTTAAAATTGCATTTCTGGCTTAAATTTAATTTTTTTGTTGATGGTTGAATTTTGAGATATAAATGAAATATTGATTTTCCGAATGTTATTTCCATCGCCTAAGAATTTAGAATATATTTATTGAAAGGGGTATGCATTTTATTCGTGAACACTTACTTTCATGAGTGCTGCATATTCATTGTAATTCAACTGTGTTGTAACATATGGGTTCCTATTGTACTTTTATACTTCTTCGAGCTTCTATTGAACACACATGAATTTCTTTCATGTTTAAAACATGTCGGGCTTGCAGGAGTACTCTGATCCAGTGATATTTATCCAATAGTGTTCAATAGAGCATTGACACTATCTCTATTCCTCTTACGGACAAAGAAAATTTGTTCAATCTCTCACTCGCCGTGCTTTTTTTATGTAAAAAAACTCATTGAATTGGTGACCCCTCCTTTTGCCCCCCACCCAACTCGGAAACTCTCCATAATGCTTTGCGTTCAGTGGAGAGCCGCGATAAATCTTGATTGCTAGGTAAAGCGCGAAAGAAGTAGGGGGAGGATCAAGATGGTGTGTTGGCGCGCAACAGTGCGTGAGGTCTAAATCGCGATGCGAGATCAAATATCGGGTGTGCTTTGTGGGCGGGGGCCGCCATTCGCACGCCGATGAGCGCTCGCGCTAGCCAGTGGCGCATACCTCGTTCCT